TATAAACCACACACCAGGGATTTGAGAGACAATGTGAATAATATTTAAAAAAAAAAACAATTACACATGAAGAACTACTTAACCAGAAAACAGAGTAAATTGCAAACAAATCAAAATTCATGATGTCAGTAGCCATAAAAAAAAGACTGTTTAACTTCACCCTGAAAAGAAAGCGAGGTACTATCCTTGCTTAGGACACAATTGGAATCAATGGGTAAAATATTCGAGGAAGTAAATTTTGAGTAAACTTCTGAAACATCTGAGCTGTAAAAGATATTTGACAGTGGAACAGACTGGGGAAGTCTGGTGGGATCTCTTGGCTAAAAGTACGTAAGCAGAAACTGGAGAGCTATTTGTTAGGGATGTTGTAGTTACAAAGTCTGACATAATGACCTCCAAAGTCCTTTCCAACTCCTGCAGTCTTTGAACCTCTACCCTGGCCCCAGAGTAGGAGGACTCTTGCCTCTCTGTTCTAATAGGGCTGGGAGTCAGCAAGCCAACTTCTTCCTTGTCATAACGCTTTTTGGTACAGTTACAGGAACAAAAAAAAATGAAAACAAAAAGAATGAAAGCTTTTTGCAGTTTGAAAAAGACAATCATGAAAAGACAATTCAGCCGTTCCCACTTAGTCTATGAAGGCTTGGAGAATATCTAAAAACACCCACACAAAAAAAGGGAAATTCTCCATCACTAATGCTCCACAAAAGCTCTTTTCTGCACAAACTATTGTTCACTTTATACATGTTAGCTACCATGTAGTAAAGCAAGAGGCTGACTCCATGGGCATTTAGTCTACTCAAGGATTGCGCTGGTTCACTTTTGAAGACGGTGATCGGATGACTTATTTCTTGGAGTGAAACAGTCCCCCTCCAGAGTGGTCCTATCCATACCTTTCTGAGCCCCTGTCAAGGGCTTCTACATTTTTGGTGCAGGTACGGTTGCTCTGGATTGGATCAGTTCCAGTGTAGGTGACTGCTGGAAACAATCCAATTTGAATTTGCCAATACTGTGAAGTGGCTTCATAAGTGAGCCACTTCAAGATATTGCAAAATCAATCACTCTCTACTTAGCAGAGGGGGAAAAAATAAAAAATATTTTATTTGCCTTTTCTTAAAGAGTTGGTCAAGAAATTTCTTGCAGTTGAATCCATGCCAAATCAATCACTTTCTCTACTCAGCAGAGGGGGAAAAATTAAAAACATATTTTCTTTGCCTTTTCTTAAAGAGCTGGTCAAGAAATTTCTTGCAGTTGAATCCACAGCGGTGGCTTCCGCCCTTAAGAGAAAGCATTTTTTAAAAAAATTAATAAATGATGCAGCACATCAGCAATAGTTCCTGTACAGTAAAAAAAATCATTTCCCCTGCCTTTTTGATAAAGAGCAGAGGAAGTGATTAATTTGCCAATATGCTTAAGTAGCTCTCTTATTAAGCCACTTCACAATATTGGCAGGAACAATTTGCACGTCAACTGTCAGGCCTAAATAGATTACGCTAACCAAGCCTAACCATTTCAAATTGACCCACGTTGGCTCACACCCTGTTGTTAATTTAGCCACACTGTAACATGTGGGGGGTTGTGTGGGAGGGGAAGTTTCAGCATGGAGTGAACAGTGGAGAGAAAGAAGATAGAAAAGGAAGATGGCCCAACGCTAGCAATGGCTTCACCCAACTTTGTCACTTCTATCCACCAAAGACTCCAGCCTCATTCTACCGCTCTTGGAGGTTTCCCAAAGGGAATGCAACCACTGACTCAAAACAGGCTGTCCCCATGGCACCACTTGCATGTGGGAAACAACAAAAAAAATACAGATAACAAAGTCATGTCAATACAGATATACAATTATCATCTCTTCTACTATTAACATGTCACCTATTAATTGAGTTAGTTCTTATATACACCTTCAAGTTACAGTATTTAGCTATGAGACATCAGGTAGAATCATGTAAGAAGAGAAGTTTTTAAAAACACTTCCTCAAGGAACACAGCACATGCATCATCAGGATACTTACAGGAATATGTAGTAAGTCACAGGTCACGAACAAATGAACACAGCAAACTTTTTTTGCTTGATTTTATTATTGCATTAAAGATGCAGTTTTAATAATGATATCAACGAATATTCTCTTAATAGGTTCAGTTAAGCCAGTTCACCATATCCTAACCTCTCTTCTGTAGGTCTGAATCTTTTTGGCAGAAGTATTAATATAAGACACTACACGATCTGTGACCCTCCCTGGAACATGTTCCAGCTATGAGTGCTGTTTACCAGAACATCACTGTCTTGGAATCATAGACATCAGGCATGCCGTCAGGACAGCGGTCTGACAGATGTGATTTTTCATAGCATGGCTGAGATATTACACACTGATGACAATCGTATGTCTGTGTTGGCATTTATCTGCTACAGATGTGCAAGTGTGTCACCACATCTGGATGGGGAGTGTGCTGGTGTCCCGAGGCTCTGTCGGCCTACAGAAAGCAGAAGAGTGAGCAGCTGCACTCAATGAACACCATGGGCACGCCATAATGTGATGAAAAACTCAACTTCCCACAAACAGAAAATACAGATTTCTTTTATTAGAGTCCTCTAGGTAACTGCTATGGCCAAAATGGGCTTTAAGATCTAACAGTAACATTAAAAAGGCAAACCAACCAAGTTCTATTCACATTTCTCCTGCACAAAGTTGACACACAAAGACAAATCTTTGCCAAAAAAAATGTTATCAAGGAAATAATATAAAATAATTTTTAAAAAAGCTAACCCACCCACAGGAGCCTGCTGTATATTTGGGAAAGGAAACCAACAACTGGTTTTGTTAAGTCTCTCAATTCAATTCCTGGCATAAGTTCTGTAGGTTCCTATGTTCTTGCTACCCCAAATAAGGGATAACTGAGCCACACATACATTTATTTGTACTTACTTGTTATAATTCTCTCTGTCACCACTGTAGTGACATTAAGGTTACCATTATATAACCCATTTAATTGTTGGAAGATCCAATGTGAACATTTAAAGAGTAAAATGAGCAGCAAAATTATTTAATTCTGACATTTAAAGCAACTTTTTACCTTCCGCAATAATATCCCTCTGTGCCCCCTCCCCATCGCCACTAAGCAGAAAACATGACCCCATAGCCATGGCCCTGAAAATCATGCAGAAATAGACAAGTACAAAAGATAGCATTGTTGGAACACAAGTGATACAGTAGTTAAAACTGCACAGGTAATTACTGGAGAATCAGAGTATGCAATTATCACATGCCATTTATCTTAACATATTTTAATTACAAAGGCCAGTCCAAGGAGAGTAGCCACGGACACCATTCTGTATAGCTGCTGCCACTAAATAGTCCTAGGCAGCAGCAGAGAGGAAGTGTTCTAGGGATAAGACAAATATTTTGGCATGCTGAACACACCCACTAACTAATGCTGCCTTTTGGAAAGATCAAGGAATTGAGATGGAAAAGGATGTGGGATCAGGTGCTTCAGACATACGCAAGTATTTTTTTAAGGCAGATATGCTGGCCATGATTTTCTTAAAAGTCCAGAATTCCTGTTACTAGATCAACTCAAAAGTCACCAAAAATTGGCAAGCTTTTGAGAGCTCCCGAGTTCTTCAACAGCCAATCTGTTACCAAAGTCTCTTGGAACTTCTGGGGAAGAAGAATAAACCATCCAAGAATTGTTAGTGCCCATTTTTAAAGGCAGGGGGATCAACTGGTTTGGTTATTTCTTCTTCCTGGAGAGCAACCTGAAACCACTGAATCATTGGGCAGAATCATGTTTAAGTGATGGTAACCCATTCCTTTCCTAATGTACTCTGACCATGCAGACACAGGGTCAAATGCTTACACATTCTGAATTGACTTCCTAAAGCTACAAACCTAACATGGATTCTGAAGTTCAACATTAATCATATCATACTGATTAATATTGTTGATATAAGGGTTTTAATTTTTTTCTATACTACTGTTGCATTCCTTCTCTTGTTTTTTTTTCTTTGCCAGTCATTCCCCTTCTCTGCCCAAAAGATTATTTCAACACTACTAGTTAAATTTACCAGAGAGGACCACAAACCACCAGAGGACCAAATGATCTAAGAGATCTGCATTTAACTTTTCCTTCCATGATTGGCATAGCCATTACTCAACCACAAACCATGTGGTTTCCATGCAAAGTCACATTTTGCCATTTCCAGTTACAGCTGGAAAGCACATCTACAGGAAGGCTACAGCTTAGGTCTGAGCCTTCACAAACATACTTTATCAAAATGTTTTTCTTGTACGCTTTCTTGAATACATTGGTAGAAAGACAGGAGATGAAAGAGCCAGTGTGATGTAGTGGATAGGACACTGGAGTAGGACTGAGAAGACCTCGGACTCAGAAGACCCAAGTTCAGATCTCTACCTAGCCATGGAAACTAACGTTGCCATGAGTGCGGTAAACTATTGCTTGAATACTTCACAAAAAGGTTCCCCTTGACAATTTTTGTCCAGTCATGTCCGACTCTAGGGGGCGGCGCTCATCCCGCTCTTCAAGCCATAGAGCCAGCTACTTCACAGACCTCAAAAATTCTATTAAGAGTCACCAAACATTGGAAACAACTTGACAGCACAAAGAACAGATAACAACGAGTGCAAATAAGAGAAAATCTCTTTGGAAAAGTAAAACAGTCTTTTTCTTCCTGTGCAGAAAGACGGAGTTGTGACTCCTGTCCTCTGAAGATGCCGGCCACAGAGGCTGGCAAAACATTAGGAAGAAAAACCTCAAGAACATGGCTAGACAGCCTGAAAAACCTACAACAACCATCGGATCCCAGCTGTGAAAGTCTTCGAGAATACATAAAACAGTCTGTATTGATTTTTCAGAAAATTCCTGGCACATTTTCTTCAGGAGGGTTCCATTTTATAAAAGAATGCTTTCACATAAAGGGCTAGTATCTTTAGACTTCCACATAGCAGCCATACAGTAGAAGTAGACATCATTTCTCTCCCCCTTACCTGACATGTTTGCCTTGTTCGCGCAGCATTTTCACCAAATCAGCAATTGGATACTGAGCCTTTGCTGCACATAGCCCATAACCTGTGGCACAGGGAGAAAAAGTTTCAGCAATGCAATACACTTGGGCAATTTCCCAGTTCAACGGAGGGGAGAAAAGTTGGGAACACACCATCTAAATAAATATCCTTGCTACCGCTGTCTTCCCAATGCAGACAATCTTAAACCATGGAAATATAATACAAAAAATATTATGCTGGCTCAGGAAATGTCAGAAATACTCCACGAAGAACATGTGTGGATGATCCCCTATTAATGGACTGCATTTTTTTCACTATATTTTTCAATGAAAATGTTTCCATTTATTTAAAAATGTATTGCTTTGAAATCTATTGTTCAGGCAGGCAATGTGGTGCAGTGGGTAGAGTGTTGAGCTAGGGCTTGGGAGAACTGAGATCAAATCCAAGCTCAGTGATGGAAACTCACTTGGGAGGGGGGAGGCAATGGTAAACTAGTATTTAACATTTGAACAGACAAAATGCAAATCAAATTGAGTAACTGGTATACAAAATCAACTGAATCTAGAATTAAAAGTTGAAATTAAACTTTTTTCCAGACAGTGTCTCTAGAAAGTACCTGAATTAATTAATATCTTTTCTGTCATACTAAAATGTATATACCAACACTTTTTAGTACCTTCATTCCCAACCACCCACTCACTTTTTATCTAAACACCATAAAGACATATTTGCATTCAACTACTTTGGAAAATTGTTTGCAACTTGCTCCAGAATTGACAAGGGTGAAGTTGAAATATTTTCCAGTGATCATGTGATGTAAGGTAAAGGTAAAGGTTCCCCTTGACAATTTGTCCAGTCGTGTCCGACTATAGGGGGCAGTGCTCATCTCCATTTCCAACCCATAGAGCTAGCATTTAGTTCGAAGACAATCTTCCGTGGTCACATATCCAGCGCAACTAGACAAGTTACCTTCCCACCATGGTGGTATCTATTTCTCTACTTGCATTTTGCATGCTTTTGAACTGCTAGGTTGGAAGGAGCTGGGAGAAGCGACAGGATCTCACTCCGTCGCGTGGATTCGATCTTATGACTGCAGGTCTTCTGACCTTGCAGCACAGAGGCTTCTGCAGTTTAACCCACAGTGCCACCACATCCCTGGGAAATGTAAAAGGAAATGCAAATTAGCTCCTTTTTCCCTTTCAGTTTGGACTCTCCCCCCTGCCACTGGGGACTTCTATTTTGAATTAACTGCAACAATTTGTACAGTGTTTTGGCTGTGTGATTGTTTTGCTCTATAAAAGACCAGGGGTGGTTTTCTGGTAACATAGTAAGTTGGGATGTGATGTTTTAGGACAGCAGGAACAGTAACTTGTACCATCTTTCTCCCTAGCTGCCCTAAAAAAATTATTTTAAAAATAGACTACGAAGTTTAGCACTAGGTCACCTTATCACTGCATTGCTACGTTAGTTTAGCATTCAATCACCTCCGCATAGACAAAGAGAGAGGAAAAAATGATACAAAATAATATCAGCTCCAACGAAATCCAGCAGATTACTGTGTTTCCACTTTGGGAAACACCCTTTTTCCTCTACCACTGTGTAGCCCCTTAAACGATCCCAGCAATTGATGGCAGACTACCAAAAATGAGCCAGGGATTGGCAAGAGGGCAGAATCAAAGGAAGGGGTACTGTAGGCAAGGATCGAACAACACTGGATTGAGGGGCCAGTGTGGACACTAGTTCCAAAACAACTTAGGGTCTTTGTGTGTTCACCTCAACTGAATGTAGTTGCAGATCAAGCTGATGGAAAGCTGAATAGCTCCAATCCAGTTTGCCAATGTACTTGCACCCTTGGGCTTTTACTATATGTTGCTGTATTTTCCAGAATTCCAAGTAAAAAACACACACTCAAATAAAGCTTTGAATGTGTTTGATAATCTAAATCACTGGTTCTTAACCCTGGGTTACCGTTTGATAATCTAAATAACACTAGGTATGCTTTCTGATTTCCCCCAATCCAGTATTTCAGCCCATCCACTTTTATTTGTAAAAACACTTAATATATTTATTCAGCCTGTAAAATTAACAAGGCATTTCAGTTGAATGCACTAACCCCACCTACCACTGATCTAAATAACACTAAGTATGCTTTCTGATTTCCCCCCAATCCAGTATTTCAGCCCATCTACTTTTATTTGTAAAAACACTTAATATATTTATTCAGCCTGTAAAATTAACAAGGCATTTCAGTTGAATGCACTAACCCCACCTTCTCCATTACAGTAGACTGCAAATCTTAAGCTGTGGACCAGCCTTCAGATATATGGTGCTGTCAATATTTTCACTGCATTAGTAAACCCATCAAGGGAGCCTTTCTGTTTTGCAGAGAGAAGCCAAAATCCTCCTGCAGAGCTATGCAAATGGCATAATCTTTGGAGGCAAATTGCTTCAAGTTAAGAAACTGAAATGGAGATTATAAATTGCATTGTCTACGGTGATTTCTTATCTCAATTGAACTCCAAACGTTTTACCATTTCTATTATGCTAGCATAAGCAGGCAAGAGAATTTGGATCAGATATTTATAACTTCCCTACTTTGCTGAGTAGACTTTTATAAACAAATGAAGATTTATTGTATATGCTATAATTTTCATCTTGTTAGAAATGTCATAAGATACAAAGTTCTTATCAATGTGAATCATGGAAATATCTTGGGAAAAGTAAAATAAACCAACAGTAACACTGGGGTTCCTAGTGTTAATGACTGATAATTTATTATTAATTCATTGTTAATTTATTTCTGCTAAAATAAATTAACAATGGTGGCAGCATTTTGCCAGGGGACCATCTTGAAGTGTGAAGTCAGGTTGGCAGAAACACACATTTGGCCTGTAGGCTTTAAGAGTTTGCATAATGGAAGCAGAGTAAACATACATGCATATCCTTGCATATGTACTTACACATATTGAAGAATGCTGTGTTTTTCCGTGTATGAAATGACACTTTTTCCTAAAATAAAATTGAGGGTCGTTTTATACTTGGTAGTAAGGGGAGGGGAGGGATCAAAGAGCTTTGATACCTGCTCTCGCCCTCCACTTTCTTTGCAAAAAGCTGCTTTCCCCCTCCACTTTCTTTGCAATAAGCTGCTTTTCCCCTCCACTTTTTGTGATGGGGAAAGCAGCTTTTTGCAAAGAAAGTGGAGGGGAAAACACTTCCCCTTCACTTTCTTGCAAGGGAAGTACTTTCCTCTTCCACTTTCTTTGCAAAAAGCTGCTTTCCCTCTTGCAAAAAGTGGAGGGGGAAAGCAGCTTTTTGCAAAGAAAGTGGAGGGGGAAAGCACTTTCTTCCCAAGAAAGTGGAAAGGTAAAGCAGGAATCAAATTGCTCAGATCCCTGCCTTGCCTTCCACTTTCTTCTAAAGAAAGAAAATTTGGGTTAGAAAAGTGGGGGTGTCTTATACACAGAAAAATACAGCATCTGCTTATACTCTTGAATGTTATTTTTACAAGCAGCCCCATTTTACCTGGAGTGATTATGATGTTGTTGGCTTCCTTTATCATGTCAACTGCACTGTCAACATTCACTTCTGTATGGGTGCCAGTGATTTCCATTGGCTTTCCCCCAGCCGTTGAAGTTGTGCCATATCCACCAAGGATCACATTAGCAAGGGACCGGTTCATGGCCTAAGGGGGGAAAATAACCACCGAGAGCTTTAAACAAACTGACTTTTGGACTGGAATCCTCTTCACCCACTTTTTCAGAGCTTATAGGACGAGATATCCAGTTCCCCCTTGGCACAAACATAAGCCCTATGCCTTGCAATGCCAGCAAGATAGCGACTGTTGGAACTCTACAAGCAAACTGTTACACTCTGTGCTACACTGAACATGGAGTTCAGCATCATAGGAAACATATACATATTCTGATCATAACACCAGACAGAATGGATGCAGGGCATTGGTAGCTACATAGAGCGACAGAGCAAAACGAGCAAAGGGCAAAGCTCATTAGTCATTAATCTTCATGCACCAAAAGGAGACACTTTCTTTCAGAGTCACCTTTGGTTGTAAAATTTGCACAGAACTAGATTTATAATGTAGGTATCATCACCTGAAGAGCTGTATATGATGTTTCTGAGTTTCAGCCAGTGATAATCTAGTTTTCATTTGCATGTCTGTTTTCTACAGACAAAGAATGCCAGAGGCAAAAACGTTCCCAAGGAATCTATTGCATTTAGCTACTGGGCACTTTTTTCTCTGGACCATTGTAGTATACGGACACCCACACAATCCCCAAAAGAAGTCTCTCCCTGGCCAGAATCCTACTAGCGCTTGTGTAAGGTTTGTGTAACTTGCCACAGCTGCTTGAAACTCACTGACAAAATGCTGGGGAACGTCTTGGTTGCACAACTAGCCATGTGACTAGGCAGGAAACTGACACACAGCAGCACCTCATCAATTAGTTGTGGCAAGTTAACATAACCCTTATACAAACACCAATGGCTTCTGGCCAATATTTTTCAGCAAATCATAATCTCAAAGCAAAAAAAAAAAAAGATACACTTTGCTGACCAGTAGGCTTCCAACCTGGAGGGAGGGATTGGATTTCTCAATGATTTGTGACATTCTATGGGATTTTTCCACAAATGGGAAAAAGAGAATTCATTCAATAAAAATATGGTTTAATCTCTATAAGAAGCTATAAAAATTCTTGTGGCACCTTAAAGACTAACAAGTTTTGTTTGGCTTACACTTCGTGGACTGAAGATCACTTCATATGTATTCATGGGCCGCAGTCCACTTATATTCTTATGCCAAATAAAACAGTTTTGTCTTCAAGACAGGACAAGAAAGACTAGCATATTCTTTTTTCAAAGATCCAAAGATGTAGATTTGCTGCCACCCAGTGGTCATCTGAGAATTCTACCATCGATAGTTTTACACTATATGCTTTCTCTCTTAAGTAAACAGATTGGTTTTGGAATGTCTAGAGTAGCACACATCGTGTCACCACTCTTAAAACACACAACTCTCACTCTTTGTATCAAGTGTGTAATCAAAAAAGAAAGAAAGAAAAGAAAGGAAGTGCATTAACACAAGAAAATAAAACAAAGAATGGTTGTTGTCGTATCAAGTGTGTAATCAAAAAAAGAAAGAAAAGAAAGCAAGAAAATAAAACAAAGAATGGTTGTTGTGGGTTTTTCGGGCTCTTTGGCCGTGTTCTTAAGTTTTTTCTTCCTAACGTTTTGCCAGTCTCTGTGCTCTGTTACAGTTTGTTGGGCAGCTGAGTATTTATAGCTGTGGGATCAGCTTTTGTCTTTTTCAGGAGATTGGATGATTATGGTGATCAGTGTGTTTTTGTTGTAGATGTATTGTTGTGATAAGGGGGAGATATGATCTGTCACAGCGATTGATGGATGTCGTTAGCTGGTCTTTTGTGTGCAGTGATCACCGGTCCATGTGGCTGGGTAGAGTTCATTGACCTTTTGCAGGCTGTATTTTTCAGTGCTGGGAGCCAGGCTTTGTTGAGTTTTAGACTTTCTTCTTTTTTGTTGAAGCTCTACTGGTGTTTGTGGATTTCAATGGCTTCCCCATGCAGTCTAACATAATGATTGCTGGTGTTGTCCAGTACTTCAGTATCCTGAAATAGAATCTCATGTCCAGCTTGTTTTAGGGCATGTTCAGCTACTGCCGATTTTTCCAGTTGTTTTAGTCTGCAGTGTCTCTCATGTTCTTTGAAAACAAAGAATATTCACCCCTTTCATCAAAATGGCCTAGTATTTTTAGTAACTGAAGAGCTTCAAAGCATACAACATACTGCACTGATATTATTTCTATCTTGTTGGGATCATGGTTCGTTTCCAGGCCCAGTTCAAAGTGCTGTTTTTCACTTTTAGGGCTTTAAAGGGTAGAACCAGGAGAAAGAATTGACCTGAGACCAAGTTTAGTACTGCTTGGGGTTAGGATATCAAACAGGAGTATTGCAGAAGACAGACTGAGAGTTGTTGGGGGGATAGCCCTGATGTGCTAGTCATGGGATGCAGTAAGTAGCTGGTTCCATCTACTATCATCCCACTGCAGCTGATGGGACTTGAGGATTGTGGTAAAACAGAGGAGGCAGATCATACAAACATGAAGTCTGTCCTTTCTTTTACTATACTTTCTCCCATATACATTTAAGCACAACTGAGATTTTCATACAAAGCTACACTCTGCCTCAGTGCTATCAGAGGTGCACTAGTAGAGAAAACAAGACAATTATTTCAGTTTGTACACCCAGGATTTGAAACTTGCTGATTAGGAAGGTCCAGCTAACATTCTCTGATGGCCTTTTGGTGAAAGGTTCAGATGTTATTTTCCCAGCAAGTGTTTAGCCTAAACCGTACTCAAAAATCTATTTCCATTTTGTATTATTATTCAGTGCTATCAGAGGTGCACTAGTAGAGAAAACAAGACAATTATTTCAGTTTGTACACCCAGGATTTGAAACTTGCTGATTAGGAAGGTCCAGCTAACATTCTCTGATGGCCTTTTGGTGAAAGGTTCAGATGTTATTTTCCCAGCAAGTGTTTAGCCTAAACCGTACTCAAAAATCTATTTCCATTTTGTATTATTATGGACCTCAACCTAGAACCAGCAGAAAGAATTGACATGAGACCAAGTTTAGTACTGTTTGGGGTTAGGATATCAAACAGGAATATTGCAGAAGACAGACAGAGTTG